TCTAGCATGAGTGACATGATGTCATAGTTGCAAGTGCTTTGTCAATACTTATGATTTTCATTAAATGTAATGATCTTTGATTGTTTCTCTATTATGATGTCATGTAGGGAACTTTTGAAGAATGTTTTGGGTTGTCGAATGATGTCATCCAATCCAATAAAACAAGGAAAATCTGAGGGTTAACTAGTGATGTCATAATTAATTTGGGGCATTGTCATTTATAATTCAATGAAGTAGTAACTCGAAATCGAGTTATTTGCATACATGTCATGTGTGGAGAAAAAGCCTCTAGCTATCCCATCCATCATCTTATTTCTCAAATTCATTTTATAATCTGTCTAGTTTTTCATACTTGTTTTGTTTGTTTCAACTTCATCCAAATCAAAACCCCCATTTTAGTTTCATGTTTCAAAGTGAGTCTTGTTAAGTGTTTTTAAGTTTAGTTTTATATTTTTGAGTCAGTTTAGAGGTTATTAGCAAGCCCTCCTAACTTATACTTATACTACAATTGTCAAAAGAGGGTTAAATTTGTGTGTTAAGTTAATTTTCGCATCAAGTTTTTGGCGCCGTTGCCGGGGATTAACAATTTTGCTAATCCCTTGTTATTTCTTTTTGTTTATATTCATGTTCTGAATCTTTTGAGTGTGATTTGCACCTAACTGAGATATTATTTGCTTAAATAATTCTTAAAATATATAGAATAATTACATAGTGACATAAACTTGTAGGTGTAGGAGAAATAGAAAAATGCATCAAGGAGCTTAGCCTTCATCTGTGGGCAAAAGAAAGTTGTCTTTCACTTTCATTAATGTAGTTCTTAGTGTTGTTTTTTCGCTTTTATTTTATTCCTGTCTGAAACTAAATTAATTTTTCCCTTCACTTTTATGCGAGTCTTCTTGTTTGAAAAACAATTAAAGTTGGACCAATAATGCTAATGTAACGAGATTACAAGAATGAACGTGCTACGAAAAAAATTACAACAATGAAAGTGAAACCCGAATAAACTACAAGAACTACTTCGTGCAAGTGAGCCGAACATTGAACTTGAAATAAGTTTGAAAGGGACCGATCTAGCATCAATCATTCCCATTTTCTAAATGTTTCATAATTTTTGTTCAATTGGGGCTTATCAAACATTAAGTCGAGTTCTTTATTGGACACGGAAAAAGTCTGGTTTATAATTTGCATGTGGTCCAATATTGTAGTGGTTAGAGTGTTGGGTTTTTACACATGAGTTTTAGGTCCGAAACTCCTCATCTTATAAATTATTATAATAGTTTTGAATCATTCTTCCTTCCCCTAATAATAATAATAATTTTGAAAAGAAAAAAACAATCTAGTTTATAATTTGTTTGTTGTTCATCTGGTGGGTGTGATAGATCATGAAAACAGACCTTAATCTAAATTAATTATTTTTATGGCTCAACCACTAATACATGGGGATTTTTCGATGCGGGAGCCAGAGTAGGATGTATGTGAGTGGTTGAGCCAAAGAAAAAGATTAATGCTAAAGAGATTTTTTCAAAATGCAATTCTTCATGAACTCTCTGTCGTCTTATAGTTTAACGTTAATTTTCATGCTAATATTATAAAATATTGTATAAAAAAAACATGAGTTAAAAGAAAATCCATAAAATGTTTCCTTTGCATTTCTCTAAACATAATTAATTTAGATTAGGATTTGTTTTCATCATCCATCACACCCACCAAATGAACAACAAACTTACACACAGAATTTCTACACACGGCACACGGTTTGTCTGAGCTAGTCAAATCAAAGCCAACTAATTATGTATTATTTTAAAATATGGGTTTCTTGTTTAAGCATCCCATTAAGCCCCACTTATTAAGTTATTATATGGTTAAACTATACTTGTTCTATACTCCTGTTTTCTAACAAAAGTTTAGCAATCATTGATGTTTCCATAGATACAGTGAAACACGCTATTCGTGCATTCAAATATTGGGTAGGGGTTCGACAAATTTTAGTGTCTTCCAACAATAATAGTAAAGCCATATTTCATTTAGTGAAGATTCGACGTGCTCTTTTTATTTTTTTTTTAATTTATCTGGGCTTGAAACTGTCAATGTAAGATGAACTTATATAAATTCAAATAATTTCACGCAATGACAGATTCAAAACTTTTTTTTTTTTTTGGGTGGGCGAAGTATAAAAGGTTCGTGTGGTGTTTGAGCCTAAGTTTCCTTGTCAGTGGTCAGGTCATATCAATGGTGACGCTAGAGAGATTGAAGAAGGAAACTGAAAACATAGGATGGACAATTTTGAGTAAAGTGGGTGAATTTGGGTAAAACAAGGCACCTGTATGAGAACGCCCCCAAAAAGTAAAGGATGGTTGGCTCCGAACTTTCGAGTAGAAAAGAGGCAACTGAGCTTTGCCGAGCTACTAGGCGGACATTCGGTCTTAGATTCTCACCCTTGTCATTGAATCCGGAATACGCTGGAAAAAACTATGGCACTTAAGCAAGGTTCATGAATCTAAAAGTTAACTTTGAATTAAGTTTGGGTGGTTACAACTTCTCACATGTCTTCCAATACAAAAGTATTTTGACGTTACGTAAAATTGACTCGTTGTTTTCATCAATATTACACGTTGATTAGTAACAACATTGGCGAAGTCTAGGAGGGTCGCAAAAATCTTAGTCCGAAACACTCAACTGATTTAAGAAAAATCAGTAATGTCATGTCTTGAACCACCAATCACCGTCATTTGGATCTGGTATGAGATCGTCCTCATCATCCTCTTCCTTAAGCTCACAAACAACGAATTGTCTAAACTCCTCATATAGGAACCATCAACCTCAAATCAAAGGTGGAGATTGAATCGGATGCCCAGGTGCTACTGCGAATGATTAACAAGGAGATTGAAGTGGATGCTGATTTGGAATGTCTTACGTTTGATATTGATTCTTTGGTGAAGCATATTGGAGATGTCAAAATTGGGTTTATGCTGCGGGGTAGTAACCTGGCTGCTCACACGGTTGCCTCGTTTAGTGGTCCATTTGTTGGTACGAGATAGGCTCTGAGTTTTTATTTAACATTCTTGCTATGACGAGATATGCTCTGAGTTTTTATTTAACATTATTGCTATGGATGTAAACATTTCGATTAGATTATAAATGAAGTCTACCTTTTGACAAAAAAAAAAAAATCAAAACCAGTGAAAGAAATCAAAGGAAAAGCATCAGATTGGGATCCAGAGCCTAAAGAAAAACATTAAAAACCATAAACATAATACTAACTTTTCCAAGAAAAAAAAAATATATATATATATATATATATATCAAAATGGACCTAAGACCATCTTAATCGCTTCATGGCTCCGCCTCGGACTAACAACACAACACTTGTAGCCGTCCTAAGTAGTAGCTAGCTACCAATCAATCACATTTATCATATTTTTTAAGAAGTGGGGGGTTGAGTTATCAATAATTTGAAGAGTAAATTGTAGCTAAGGTCCCTTAACTTTAACTCAATTGGAGCAATGGTTTCTCAACTAAAAATCCATTACCATTGGTCCATCAACTCATCAAAACGTGTAACTATGGTCCCTCAACTAAAAATCCATTACTATTGGTCCCTCAACTTTAATTCAACTGGAGAAATGGTCCCTTAACTTTAACCCAATTGTAGCAATGGTCCTTCCAACATAACTCGTTTTGACAAAAATTTTGACGTAATTGACGAAAATGACCATAATTACACACTTTGATGAGTTAAGGAACCCTAATTATATAAATGGTTATTCTAACATAACTTATTTTGACAAAATTTTTGACGAAATTGATGAAAATGACTATAGCTACACATTTTGATAAGTTGAGGGACCAATGGTAATAGACTTTTAGTTGAGAGACCATTGCTCCAATTTGATTAAAGTTGAGAGACTATTACTACAATTTACTCTAATTTGAAAAAAGAATAAGAGGTTGGTGGAGAGTTGTTTTTATATAGCAACAGTAATGGTCATTAGTCACTTGTCTCAACCAAATGATTCGCATCCGGACGTGCACAAAAATTAAAACTCGGCGTCTGCCATTACCAATCGCCGCCTCCCTGATCAGGCTCTATTTTCCTTTCGTAATTGGTATAACAAAACTTCGGGGTACGGTCGAATCAAGATTTCAATTGCAATATTTGTTGCTCACATAAGCGTCCTTGCCTGCAATCACTTACTTTGATTTCAAAATGCTTCAATCTATGATTAGTTAGAAATACACATTTAGGTCATAAATTGGGTAATTCTCTTTTTTTCTTTTTTCTTTTAACTTGAACCAAGTATGTGGTTATTGAAAGAGAATTGATTTCAAGATCACGACAAGTGGTTCAGTAGAAAAGTGCAAACAACAGTTTTTTTACAGGAAAAAAAGAGAGGTTATGGGTTCGATACTTTGCAAATTGTGAATCTGTTTGATCGTGGCTATGGATAGGATGCAATTCCCAACTAGTCTCATCCAAACCCGAAAATAGTGGATAACTGTAGTTCATCACTGGTTGTCCCCCTTTTTAAAGAGAACTGATTTCAACACTGTCTTCCTTCATACACACACTTGATACTTATATTTGACCGCTAGATTGAATTGAGAAAATAAAATCAAAACAACCAAAAACAAACGGTGAGTAAAATTCATTTCTTTTGTTGAAAGGGTGGTATCCATCCACACACTCTTGTTAATTTAAATTATTTGATCTTGTTTAATTCATTTGATCCAATGATCGAAAATTAAAAAGAGTGCAAAAAGTAAAAAATAATGCATGGATAGCACCACTCTTGTTGAAATTGAAAACTTAATCCAAGAAAGAAAAAAAACCTAAAACCAACTAGAAAGCCAACTAAGATAAAACAAGAAAAAAAAAAAACAAAAGGCAACCCAAAAAAAAAAAAAAACAAAAGATAAAGGAGGGGACGAAAGCAGAGGAAACAGAGAGGGACAGAAAAAGAAGGAGATTTAAAAGGAAAATAGGATCCGAGTACAACGGAACCTGTCTTCCTTTCAATCCTCTGTTTCTCTCTCTTGTGTCTGGACAAGGTGTTTTCTGTCTTGTAATCTCTGTTTTTGCATTTGGAAATTAAAGCAAAAAACTTTAAGGTGGTCGAAAACAGAGCAAGTTCCAAAAGGGAAGGAGGCCGAGTTCCTCACCAGGGAACGACGGTTTTCCTCTTCTCTTTTGTTTCATGTCGGAATATTAATTGCTAACCCCTTCCCAGGTTTCCTCTCTCTCTCTCTCTCTCTCTCTCTCTCTCTCTCTGCATGTAAATGTAATTATTTTCATTTCCTCGTAATTTACAATCATGTGTAATAGTCCGGCTATGGAAAGAACGTCCGTTTTTAGATAATTCACATTATCTACACATATTCGAAAATATTTGTATAATGAGAATGAACGTCATGCATGAAGAATTTCCGTCACGCAGAATAGTGTTATGTATTCTTTAATGATGTTTTGTTTCTATTTTCTGTATTATATTGAGTTATTTATTATAATCCTATTCAATCCAATCCTAGGCACCGAACGAGAGTCATGTGGTTTTCTAAACCGGACTTTTATTTTTGCCTTGCAGGTTAAGTACATCTGGAGAGTCCTCTACATTACTTGAAAAAACTTGCTGCCATGGGCGTCTGTGTCTCGAAACCAAATGAAACTATCAACCCTCATCAGAAAAAGGTCCACAGACTCGGCAAGCGCCGGAGTAAGGGGAAGAAGACGAAGAAGGTTGCTTCCGTCGCCATCCCTGATGCGCCCAAAAGACGGTCTGTGAGTGAGTTTGTGCATCTTGACTTTGAGAAAGGTGCTGCAACCACCTGCAAGAGATCTGAGGTTTCTAATGGAACATATCATCTCACTCAGCTTCAGTGGAACCACAGTCAAATTGATGCACATGGCGGTATGTTTCAAATGTTTAAGACGCGTTTGATAACCATTTCGTGCTTTGGTTTTCGTGCTTTGGTTTTTAGTTTACATCATGAAAAGTTAACACCAACAGAACCCAGCTTACCTCAAATACTTATGGGAAACATACATAAAATCTTTCTACAAATCTTCTGTCATATCGTATACAAACTTTTTCACTACACGGACGTTAAATGGACAGTAAAATTAACGTGTTTGATCGAAGATTTGCGAAAAGTTCTATCCATGTATTTCCCGATTTGTTCTGTGTTAAGTGATTTCTGACCAAAAGATCAAAACTTTGCGTAGGGAAAGGCCCAGGGGAAGCATGGTTTGACTCACTAAGCATTCTGGAATCTGATTCAGAAGATGATTTCTGCAGCGTGCATGGAGGTAATGCACTCATATCGCGTATTGATTTCAATATTTTCTTCTTGTTTTTTTTTGGTGGCAATTCGGTGGCTGAAACTAGTTCTTTGTTTTCGGGTGCCAGATGGGTTTCCTTTAGCAGGGAACATCCCAAATGCTCAATTGCTGCAGTATGAAAGTGCATCATGCATCGTCGATAATGGATGTAAGTACGAAGGGTTCTACGAAAGTTATCTAAAAATAGATGGAAATGCACGCCATTCTGTTGAGAAAACCCAAGTGAGTTTCAACGACAAGAGTCAGAAGAACCCGGCGGTGATCATGCTTTATAAGAGGAAGTCCGTTGACGACAGCGAAAGGAACGGTGAGTGCTAAATCTAAATGTGATCAAAATGTGAAGTTAGACTCTAAGCAACATTTTATGTATGCCTACATGCTCTCTGCTACAATACTAAACGTGTAACAATGGATGAACAGGTGCGTCCGATCAGAAGTACTTATTCCGTCCAAGAGCAGGACTTCGAATCCCTTGCTCAACTGAAGAGAAGTCAGCTCCGGGATCCTGGTCTCCAGTTCCACCTTCAGTATTCAAGCTCCGCGGCGAGAATTATTTCAAGTACATTACTTGTTTTCCTGTTGCTACTTTTGTTTTGTTTTCGTCATTCATTTCGGCTGTCTAAAAAATGAAAAATTTTCCGACATGCAGGGATAAACAGAAGTACCCTGCTGCAAACTGCAGCTCGTACGTACCAATTGGTGTCGATTTGTTCATCTGTCCCCGAAAGAGAGATCACATTGCTCAGCATCTTGAGCTTCCTTATGTAAAACCACATGACAAAGTTCCTTCCCTCCTCATTGTTAACATACAGGTCCCCTCTCTCTCTCTCCCTCAAAATACTTCCCTGAAGGATCAGTTTTCGTTGTGTTTTTGGTGATACTGATTCTGGTGTTCTTGTTGTTGCAGTTGCCTACTTATCCTACAACAATGTTCCTCGGCGATTCAGATGGGGAAGGCATGAGTCTTGTGCTATATTTCAGAGTGAATGAAAACTTCGAAAAAGAGATATCATCTCAGTTTCAAGACAGCATCATGGTAAGTTTCGTTCCCACATCTCTGATCCGGGTGCAAAGAAGACGGACTTATTAACGAAGCTTTGTTTTTCTGTCGCAGAAATTCATTGAGGATGAGACCGAGAAGGTGAAGGGGTTTGCAAAGGAGTCTCTGGTTCCTTTCAGGGAAAGGCTAAAGATCATGGCTGGATTGGTCAATCCAGATGATCTCCAGTTGAGTTCTACTGAAAGAAAGCTCATACATGCTTACAACGATAAGCCGGTGCTTTCACGCCCCCAACATAATTTCTTCAAGGTAAAATGAATACGAAAAATTCTCTCTAGTTCAATGTTTTTACGAGAAACACTTCAATAGAGCAGCTTGATCATGTGGCTGGTCAGGTCACTCTCATAAAGGTACGGATCTCACATGGGTATCATTTCCCACTAATTGTGAGAGTGCTTGACTTGTCATATGGTCAGATTGTTCTACCGGAGTTTTTTTCTTCTAGGTTTTTACACTAACCTAACTGTTTTTATGTAATTTATTTAACAGGGACCTAATTACTTTGAGATTGACCTGGATATACATAGGTTTAGCTACATATCCAGGAAAGGACTTGAATCATTCAGAGACCGTTTGAAGAATGGGGTACTTGATTTGGGATTGACAATCCAAGTAAACTCGCAACCTTACCATTCACTGTTACAGTAAATATGCATCCTGCTTTTCTGTAAATTTTGAGTTTTGTTTAACGGCGTTGGTGGTGGCAGGCACAAAAACAAGAGGAACTGCCAGAGCAAGTCCTGTGCTGTTTACGCTTGAACAAGATTGATTTCGTGAACCACGGTCAAATTCCGACTCTCGTAACTATGGACGATTAAATCGGACAGGCACTGAACCTGGATCCCGGAGGGTTTCTAGAATTCCGGCCAAAACACCAAGCAAATGTTTGTAAACATTCGGGGGCTTCGACCGCGCTTCGACCTAATCCAATGGTGCAAGAAAAGGAAGACAGAGAAATGAACTGCAAATGCATTACAATTGATCTTGTACAAAATGTCATCAGTATCTGTAATCGTATGCTTTATAGTTAACACTTAACACCATGCATTTGCTATCCGTCCTCATCCATTAAACCTGTAAACCGTATCTAATCACCGCGATAAAGCTTATAAGAATGAGGACATAAAAGGCCGTAAGAACCTGATTAGCGCTTTTTCTTGTACATGCCATCGACTAACGATGATTAGCACAAAGTTTTGTTCTACAATGTCAGATGTGCGCAGCGATTGGTGTGCGCTGACACAGCAACAAAAGGAGTACCAAGCAAGAACAAAAGGAGAAGTACACAATAAAAATAGGCAACCCGACAGTGGAAGTAATTTTCTTGGAGTTTCAGGCAAACATCGATACATTATTACCAAATACAAGGGTAAATAATCATATAAAACAACATCACTGCTTCCATATACAAAAGAATAAACAGAAGTTGTAAATTTCAACAGAGTATGCTTGTTAACTAGTTTACGTACAACAAAAATTTGACCTGACTTCTTCCTTCTCCTTTATTCTTTTTCATAATTACCTCTTTCCTTTGTACATTAGCGATTCGGAAACTGGGCCTTGATCAAAACTACGGCCTGAAGTGAAAAACAGATTCGGGCAAACGTAACACTTACAACTTTTGCCTGCTTCGTGGAAATTTTCCATTCTCTGATTCCTCGTGCTTGCTTTCCTGATTGAAACTCACAGAAACTATGTTATTTGTTCTTCTTTTAAACGTAAACTTGCTATAGGCTGCTGGTCCTTGTTTCTAAGATCGATCTTGTCCATCTTCCCAGTTCCTGGATTGACTGATCTTAGATTTGATGCGTTGTTGTTGCCTGTGTAGTGGCCGCTTGTTTTAGAAGCTGGTACATCATGATTATGTTTTCCCTCATATGTCGTTATGACAGCTTTAGGATCTGTAGAGGCTCTCTCTATGTGCTTACGGACATTGCATGCAGGGAATGTGCATTTGTAATAGCTCCTGTAAAATGTAGCAAAGACTAATCAGGAAATTTTTAAACCAACCGTACAACAAGGAATTACTCCTTTGATTGAATACGTTAGGCAACATAAATTTATAGGAGGTAGATTTGTAAATATTCAATAACATATACGATTATGTTGCCCCTTTGGCTGCGGAAACAAAACAAAACAAAGAACGATAAAGATAAGTTCCACAATGCCAATGCATACTGAATGACTGCCATCTTGACAGGTTTAATCAAAATTCACATTCTATTCTTAATTATTTTCTGATATGATTCTATTAATCTGGAGTCCAATAGCTTGTAGTTTCAGCAGTATTACCGTGGATAGGGATTTCCTTTGACGACTTTCTGCCCATACTTTCGCCACCTGTAGCCATCGTCTAAGAGATCGACTTCACTGGTTGTCTGCACTATGATTCTAGGCTCTGTCACAGTCCGATGTGCAGAAGCTGGCGCCAGTTCTGACCTGACCTCTGTATTTCTGGAAAATAAAAGTTAATTTTGTTAAGAATACATGACAAACAATGAACATTAACTTCCGACAAACATGTGCATATGCTTATCAACATAAACGATCTACCTTCTCTTGGTGTCAGGTTGATCTTCATCTTTCTCACCTACTCTGGTTTCAGCATCTCCTACTTCCTCGCTGTCACTTGTCCCGGATAAATTATCATGTGTTGCTTGGCTGGATTCCTGACGCTTCTTAGACATTGAATAAGGACCTGTCCCGTCTTTTGATTTGTTCGAATTCCCACCATGAACTTGCAAGGCCAAGTCGGAATTCGCCTGACTATTTGCATTCGGATCCTTTCCACGCTTGGACGGAGGACGTTCATGGTTATGCTCGCCCTTGTAAATAATTTCAGTTATTTGTCCATCAACCGAGCGTTCAACCTTCTTCTTTACCGGACACTTTGGATGCGTGCACTTGTAATAACTCCGAGGAAACTCACTACCCTTGACCTGCTTTTGCCCATACTTCCGCCAATTGTAACCATCGTCATTAGGCTTATCGACGGCAAATGAAGACGGTTGGGATCTCTGATCCGAAAGGGCAATGTCGGATGATTCTTTAGTGGCAACGGCAGAGTCGGGTGTTCCCGACGGTATCTCTTGGGGTGGCATTGTATCGGAAGTAAGGGATGGAGGCTGCGTCAACGATGTGGCGGGTGCTGTCGAGAAAGTCGTTGAAAACTCGGTTGAGAAATTGAAAAAGGATGGTGAGAGTGCAGCAGCCTGAGCCGTGACCTGTGCTAGCGCCTGCTGGTGTGTCATCCCAAAGGGTCCCTACAACGATTCATAAATCACAGCCACAAGAAGAAAAAAGGGAAAAAGTTGCTAAATTTAGAAACTCAAATCCTCCGCCTTTGTTTTCGGAGTAACTAAAGACGAGATACTAATCTAAATCGGATAAAAAAGGAAACTTTTCAAAAAATCCCAGCTCCCTAATAAGCAAACAGCCAACGGTAACAGTAATTCAGAAGATGGAAGAAGTGATTGACGAGTGGAGTACCTGGCCGGGTGAGAAGATACCCGGCGAGTCGAGAAACCCGGACGGCGTCGGGACCGAAAACATCGGCGGCGCTCTGTTCTGCTTGAACCGGAATTCCGAGCCGCCATCGTTATCGCCGGAATTTCGCTTTTCTAGCTGCGGGAACCCCGGCTCCCTCGGGGATGGAGACGTCATGGCTCCGGCGAGCAGCTGGGAGAAGGACTTGCAGTCGTCACCGTCGGAGAAGAAGTTGGAGACGAGAGTCATGGGCCCGGGGCTGAAGCCCATGCCCAGACCCGGGCCAGTATTCCCGCCGGCGCCGGAGCTGAAGATTGATTCGAAAGAGGTGCGCGGCGGGAGAGTAATCGTGGGGCGAGGAGGATCATGCGTCGCTGCGGGCTTCGACGGTTGCGATGATCCTGGCGGCAGGGGGCCCGGCGGTTGCCCTTGGTTGTCGGCCATTGGATAAAAAAGCAAGAAAATGTTTCAACTTACTCTTTAAACTCTCGTTTTCTTTTTCTTTCTTTCTGCGGGAAGTTTGTGTCTTTCTGTTTTGTTTTTGTATTTTTCGGATTAGGGGATCTGAAATTCTGCAAAAAGTCCACGCCGCACATACCCGAAAGTCCTTTCCTGATTAACGAGATTATTTCCTCGATCATATTTTGTAAATCATATCATATAGTGGTTGATAATTGCATTTTTACTTCAAGTCATAAAAAATGAATCCAATCATTAACCGAATGATACAAAATATGATTTTAAAAGATAGTCTCCATAGTATTTTTTTTTTATTTTTTAATATTATCTTTGGATAAATTTCATTTATTAGATAAACTATCGTTTGACTTGTGAATTACTACCTCAATTGAAATTGAACCGTCGAACTATTTTTTGGTAAATTAAAACCTGCTCCTTAGTCATGCTTTGGTCTCAACATGTTGGGGCGAGGAAGTGTCTGCAAGACTAAACAAAGATAACATATTGAAAGAATTGAACTTATTGAACGAGGCTTATTCAATTGGTAGCAACCACCAAACCAATAGAACAAGGGTTAGCTCTGCAGCTAGTCAACGTGTAAGTAGGTCCATTACCAACCAGCTCCAAACCAATCGTTTCGATATATGATTTTATCTTGTTTCAATTTTATTTATTATCGTTGACCAAGACCTAAACATTTTAAAAGCGGCCAATTCTTTCATATCGTTAAGTGCAAGTTAGTTTTTCGTTAAGTCACGACTAATGACCAATAAAAGTGGCATATTTTTATTGGTAAATGGCATGTTTTTATTGGTCACTATTGGTGACTTAATGGAAAACTGGATGAACTAAACGACTAGAGGAAAATTGACTATTTTTTACATATTTTAGGTTCTTAACTTATCAAAAAATAATTTAAAAGCGAATTTCAAGAGGACGATAGTTCAGAAAATCAAATCATAGTTCATTCTATTTTATTTATGAGCTTTTGGGTTGTTTGGTGTCGGTGGGCCGGTGGGGCTAAAGTTGCTAACTACTAAGCCTATGCTTGAAATGACGGTGATGACCCTGAGACTTTTAGGAACTACGAAATTTCCATCTTCCTAGTGTGAAAATATAGGGGTAGTGAAGGGGAAGAAGTAGATTCGTTTCGCTAGATATCTGGATTATGGATTGTACTCAGCCCATTTAATCCACTTAGTGAACAGTGATAGACTCTAATGAACAATAATAAGTCAATGCATATCCATCCCTAAAACTAAATAGCCTAGTCAATTTTATTAAAATATTATTAATTTTTATTATAAAATAATAAAAATTAATAATTTGATTTTTAATTTATGAGTTTCTCCCAAAAAATGCTCATCAGACCAGAGCACGCCAACCCACCCCCCATCTCCATCCTCCATCAAATCCCCACCTCCCCTTCACTCTCCACTTCCTCTGCCCCCAAACCAATCGACATCGGTGCCCGAGCTTGCCAGCTCCAAACTTGCCTTCTATGGACCTACGCCCTGACCTTCAGCTGCATCGCCAGATTTGTATGTTATCGTCCTCAACAGCTTCCAATACTAGCTCATCCTCAACAACAAGTTCTAGGTTGGCGGCCTCGTCCTCGAATGTAGCGTCGTCCAGCTGTCTTCCTCACCGGAGATGGAGTTCGTCGTCGTCGATTTCAGATCATGACTTCAGCTTGACATCATTTAGGCTGATCCCAAGGTCTGTCAATTTTGGGCTGGCCTGGAGACCAGCTTGGGTTGGGTGCTAGGCAATCCCGTGGGCTAAAGAGACTTCCCTAGGTGCCGAACCATTTTTTTGGCTGTGTGTCGGCCTATCCCACCCCCGATGGAAGTGCTATGATATCTATGGACTAGTTAAGTCATCTCCAACCAAAAGAGGGTCAAAGGGCCATATTTAGCTCTGCAATAAATTATTTTTTAATGAACAGTGACATACTATATTTTATACAATCTCCAACTCAGGGGGCCAAAGAGTCATAAGCCAAAACATAGTCATTTGACAAAAAATTCAGCTTCAACTAAAGGGGGCTATTTTTTAGCCCCTCAATAATTTATTATTTATTGAATTAATATGGTTAATTGAATTAAACTATCATATTAAAATAATATTTTTTTGACATATTTTGAGTACCACTTGTCGCTAAATAAATAAGCTTTCAGATTTCTTATCTTTATATAATCTCAATAATTTTTTGGATATAATGTGAAAAATTGAAATAAAATGAGATAAGATAGTATGAAATAGTGAAAAGGATTTGAGAAATGGTGTAGGAATGACTTAGGTATTTATAGGAAAACAAATTTCGTCTAAAAAATAAAAAATTCAAATTCGAACGGTAATCTCAATTTGCATTTTCGGAGATATAAATGTAGTTATCTTTGATTTGTGAGACTCATTACCACAAAATAAAAAAATAAATTTACATTTTTATTTACATCTTCGGGCTAAAACATATGGCATCTTCGAGATGCCCTAACATGAATGATCGATATAACTTATAAGGTGTATTTATAAAAAGACAAATACGCAATATGAAAAGATTTATTTGTAGATTCTTTGAGATGCAAAATATGGTTAGAGCCAAATATATACACCAAACAAAGCAAATGCGTTAGAAACGTGTTGGCACTTGTGGCATATATAATTAAATCATGGAAAAGAGAGCTGCCACATGTTGTCTCACGGGACGGACAGTCGCTCTCACAAACTGCACATAAATACACGTAACATGTTACAACTTGACCCTTTGCAAAATTATTTCTGTCTTCACCCTCTCCATCTTCAAACTCCTCCGTAGCACGACCAATAATACAATGTTATATGTATATTTTTATGACGTGCTATTAGTAAATTATTATTATAGTATTTTGTTCATTTATTGGAACGAAAGAGTTAACAACTACAAAAAGGGATTCTTTTCTAATCCGTTCCACCAAATTCACTCAATCATCCAATTCGGACTCTTAAAATTTAATCAAACGGTTAAAGTTATTATAACTTTTAAATGAACTTCCTGTTTTTAGCCGTTGAATCAAATTTTAAGGATCCAGATTGAGTAATTGGATGAATTTGATAGAAGGGATCCGGGATCCCTTTCCAACAAGTACAATTTACAAATCCAAAAAATATGGTAGATAAACACATAAATTTATGAATTTGCGTACAACGTGGCTTCTATTTCTATTTCTATATTTGTGGATAATATGTATGAATATTACTCCTACAAGGAGACGAGTTGAGTTGGTGTCCACACATATTGTGCCCGGAGTTCTTGTCCAAATAAAGAACCTCCGCACAAGTAGCTGAACGTGTTATTATGTGTCAGTTACATGAGACAAGCGATAAATAATTATCGTACGTCAAAAAGTTAAGAAATCGTACAAATATTTACAGAGTTTTTATTTTTATTTTTGTCGAATAATAGATTTTGTTAAATTAAATGTTAGATTAACTATCGATGGATCTGAACTCATGCCGTCAATTCTTTTCCACCAATGTGATAAAAGATCACTTACGTACAAATGTTTAGAGTTAAATTGCTTCGTGTATTGACAGTTGATTTTGGAGTGGGACTACAATATTATGTTGATCTATTTCTTTAAATCATAAGTTTTTTTTTAATACAACATGATATTGTTCATTTGCACAACCTAATGAGAGTTGGTATTAACCACTAGTTTAAAACTTAGTAGACCTTACTAGCTCACCAAGTTCTTTCTACATTGTGACACTTAGTTCACAGCATTTATTCAAGGGGATCGCCATTATTTTAAAGAAATGAGGACTAGTTGTCGAGCTCATTTCATATTAAATTTTAACGATCCGAATCGTTTATTTTTTAAGTTGCATTTCATATATATTTTTGCAAAAATTAATTCAATATTAAAACATTTACGCATTTGATTATCATGATGAAAGTTCAATGTTTTTTAGAACATAATGTTCGTCAACTTTCTTTAACTCAATTAGATACCTCAAACATTTTCAATTTAGCTCATATTTTGCAAGGATGACCTATGATGTGCAACTTGAAAAGTAAAAAGTCCAGGTCGTTAATGTTCAATGTAAAGTGAGCCCCCACGACTAATCTCATTCCTATTAAAAAAAAAAAAAGGAGTCTTAACAAAACACTCCTGATACTATTAACTTTTAACGTTAAAGATATTTTTACTCTAAAAAGTCACTATTTGTACTATTCACTTATAACACCTTTTTATCCTTTTGGTTAAAACTCAAAGTTTTCAAGTCATTTTCATTAATTTTCCTTAAAAAAATGGGACCATTTAGATAGAGGGAAATGTGTCATCTACGGGTCTCTTCCTCCTAATACACCAAATCAGGGAATCCGTGCCGTTGAAATTTGATTCAACGACTACAAACAAAGGCTCACTTTAAAAGTTATAATAACTTCAACCGTTAGATTAAATTTCAACGGTATGGATCCCCTGATTTAATGGGTTATCCGGAAATGATCCGGAAATGATCCATTTTCTAGATAGAGGGCCCCGTCTAATTATTTTTACAATATACCCGTTTCAATGAATTATATAAAATGTTACTTTTCATTAACTAATCATGTTCGGTTGAAATTCGTTTAAGTCAGATGTGAGAAGCACATTCTTAGTCATGCCAAACATCTCTTGCATGGTTTAATGACTAAAAAATAGTTGTAAAATGATTGTCGGATATTTGGTGCTATTTGTATTTGGTCAAATGGGCATCAACACAAAATTGAATGTTAATAATATGCACGTTTTACGTTTAAACATTACAGTTTGATATGCACATTTTGTTTTACCTTTTTTCTTATTTTCGTAAGTTATTTATGTTGTAGACGTGTCAAATTTGATTTGCGAAAAAGATTAATGGCTCCTTTCGACGAGGGGCCAAGCAAGTAAATTTTTGGTAACCCCACGACAATGCCATGTGATTTTGTTTATGATAATATCCAACTCATATACATATACATGTTTGTATTAATAAAGGTGGGTTGGTACTACCAACCCCCTGTCAAGGTTGATCTTTTGTGTTCACTGAATCTCTCTCACATCTATCGACTTTGCT